GCGTTGGCATCGATTTGTATGGGCCACTTCCATTAACGTCAGCTGGTAACCGCTGGGCCATTGTTGCTGTGGACCACCTCACGCGATACGCCGAAACTGCCGCTCTCCCCGCGGCTACAGCGAGCGATGTGGCCTCCTTCCTGCTCCAACGATTCATGCTGCGACACGGTTCACCTCAGGAACTGCTCAGTGATCGAGGCCGCGTCTTCCTGTCTGAAGTCGTCGAAGCCATTCTCAAAGAGTGCAACGTTGTTCACCGCAAAACTGCTGCTTACCACCCGCAGACGAATGGCCTCACGGAACGCTTCAACCGTACGCTCGGCGACATGCTTTACAAGTACGTCGCCGCCGATCACACAAATTGGGATGACATTCTACCCTTCGTCACCTACGCATATAACACCGCCCCTCAAAGCACTACTGGCTTTTCACCTTTCTTTTTAATATATGGAAGGCACCCATCGCACACCATCGACACTATACTTCCGTACAAGCCAGGTCCGTCCGAATGGGCGCCTATTTCTGCAACAGCCAAGCTTGCTGAAGAGTGTCGAGAGCTTGCAAGGACCTTTACAGCGCATGATCAAGAGCGGCAAAAAGCCATTCGCGCTGACGCCAGCACTACTGCGCCCACGTTCCTCCCTGGAGCGCTCGTCTGGCTCTCGATCCCTACTACTGCAACTGGCCTATCTTCAAAACTATTGCCCAAATACGAAGGCCCCTACCGTGTTGTCAAATGCACTTCCCCAGTCAACTACTTGATTGAACCCATCGAACCATCTTCGGACATGCGCCGTCGAGGACGCGACATTGTTAACGTGGAGCGCCTCAAGGCCTACCATGACCCGCTCATTGTAACCAGCTGTTAGGTCGGCCAGGTGGCTCCCGTTTCGTACCGGGGTAGTTGTGCTAAAGCCTTTCACAGGTGGGTCGTCCTCTCAGCGCCTTCTGGTGGGTGCCCTTTTCATAAGAAGAAGAGCAGCTCGCGCAGAGTCGCTCCCCGCATTGACTGTCGCTGTCGTGAATCATCGCTGAGTGTCCGCCAATAAACCGCTTACAATATATAATATATATATATATATATATATATATTATATTATATATATAATTATATATATATATATATATATATATATATATTTGAACTAGTACAAAATAACTCTGCCAGGTTCATCCTCTTAACTAAAACCGCACTGCAAGTATGCCTCAACAAAAATAACTTATCACTTATTTCATTGGCTCATCGATGAAAAATCGCCCGTCTTTCACTGTTTCATAAAAGTTTCTATCACCGAACACTTCATAATGACCTGATAAAATGGTCTCTGTACATCTCGAACCATGTTGATCATTGCAATAAGGTAGAAATCGCATCATGTCAAACTAAGTCTTTCTTTCAGTCATTTATTTCCCGCACATCTCATGATTGGAACCACCTTCCCTCGAATGTTGCAATCATCACTGATTTCAAACTTTTTCACGAAACATTAGCTAACATTGTATAACCAGAAAAATCTGTTACCTATACTTAATGCTTCTGTTTTTTATATTTTGGAAATAACTACTTTTGTATATTCTGCAGAAGTTTTGATAGTATTATCTAAGTCTTTTATTGTACTGCTTATTTGTATTTCTCATGTAATTACCCAACCCAATACCCTCTTGAATGCCTTTTGACATGAGGTACTAAAAATGAATAAATATATATATATATATATATATATATATATATATATATATATATCTATATATATATATATATATATATATATATTATATATATATATATTATATATATATATTATATATATATATATATATATATCTCCTGACCTACGCCTCTCTTACTCTAATGAAAGTCAGATGATTTCACTATTCAGCAGGTGGTTATCAAGAGACTTGACTGTGTTTAACAATCTAGAAGACATAAAAACTTGAACATAAACGACATGCGGTTCTGCAGTGACCTCGAAAAAATTGTGGCAGTGGCAAAAAATATTCCACGATAATTACTATCGAATAACTAATTTTTGCAAGGAGGCTAGCGTTTACGTCTTGTAAAGAGTAAACTGGACAGATCCAAGTGAACAAGGTTCATGTTTTGATAATTAAGAAGCGTATATTTTTACTGATAGCCTGACTGCTATAACTTTTACCTGCCCCTCAAGGACGCGTGAGAAGTACATGATTCCTCTTTTGTTATGAGTGTTGGTTCTCTAGCAGCACCATTTATGTAAGGCACGGGAAAATAATAAAGCTATTCCAAATTCACTGAGTACATCACCGCTTTCAAAGCGTGGTGAGCCTGTGGCTAAGTGTGGGCAGGAGTGAAAACCACAGCTGCTAGTCTAGTACAATCTAAGCTTTGGCGCTAGACAGAACACAGTCCCAAACCTGGCACTAAATATTTCATACCATCGGTTGTGAACTCAAGCACCTCCATACACGCTTTCGTGCAGCGCGTTTGGCGACTCGGCGCAAAGCACAAAGTCTTTGATGAGTGCTATGACTTCAATTACAACCGAGTACCAACTCCTAATTGCGCCTGTGGCAGTAAACAGATCAATGGAAAGAGTGCGCTTCATAAATTTATATCCCGTCAAGAAACTGCCTTTGTGAGAGCTGGCTGGACTAAATGGTCAGAGTCCGAATTGTGATGATCGCCGCACAGCCCAGTGGGCTTTATTATTGCTCTTCCTTATGTACCTCTAGCTTCCAACAAATATTTATATGCACTGTAGGCTACAGGCTGTAAAGTAGCCTCATTACACTCAAGAGCAAAGTTGACACTGAAGATTTGGTGCTCTAGCACAACCAATGAACGGAAATCTGGTAAAGTGTAGCAAACAAACAAAGAAGAAAAAATCTCGCAAGGTGTTTAGTGCATTCTCCTAAGACAGCTGAAAAGTGGGAGACATTTTCTTTTTTTGTCATTGTGTTTCTCCTCGTCCACCCCCTTCCGAAAGCTTTCTGGGCTAACATAATTTGGCACTGCGTCCCCAATCGGATGCATAACAAGTTTTCCATACCTCACCTGGTTTTGCACAGTGTCGAGGATCTGAAGATTTGTATGTTTCCTACACTTCACCTGATTTGGCACTGCCCCCATGTCCGGTGGTCCAATGACAGGGCCAGTGCAAAGCTACAATGGAATGCGACGTCACGTGATCTCATTATGAAGATGTAGTGACGTGATGAAAACATCATAAATTTCGGCATTCTGTCACGTCCTTATGGCATCATAAAGTGACATAATAGCTGATAATTTTGCATCACTAGTTCTGGCGCTGCGGATGCCAACGATGAATTTTAAAAAGCATATGATGAGGCATTTAAGTTTTTCGTCTTAATGAAGGTTGGGTGAGATGGACCACGGACGCGCACAATTCTACAGTCCAGGCAGTAGTGGGCGATATTACGACACGTCGTGGGCACCACGCTTTCACCTCCGTGCAAGGCCGTTTATACTTGCAATGTAGGCCGAATTTTCTCTCGATCGATTTCATTGATATATGTAGGGTTTAACATTTCAAAAGCACCATATGCTTCTGTGAGACGCCGTAGGGAAAAGGTTACGGAAGTTTCGACCACCTGGGGTTCTTTAACATGCACCCAAATCTGAACACACGGGCTTACAGCATTTTGGCATCCAATGAAAATGCAGCTGCTGCTGCCGGGATTCGATCCCGCAACCTTCCGGTCAACAGTCGAGTACTTTAGCCGCTAGACCACCGCGGCTAGGTCAAGGTATTTATCCTTGCACCCATCTTCTACTCTCACATTTTACTGAAACAATTCTCACAAATGCCCCCTGCTGCCACAGCATCTCAGAAGCATTTGTCAGGGATGTTGCATAGCAGTAAACTGGTGGTGATACAGTGAATCCAGCTTGCAGTACGCGACGGCACATGACCGCAGTGGGACGCAAGGTACTACAATACCCGAGTAACATTATCTGGAGGAGCGCGCGATCGCACTTTGTCAGTTGAGATTCTGTGTCGTTTTTGGAGAGTATGGCTAAGCGTATTGTTTCTTGGACCACTTGACTTTTTTCGTAATCTAGTACCAGGTGAATAATTCTTTGCTGGGAAATAAAAATATCCCAAGAAAAAAAATCCCAGCATATCCACGAGGTGAATGATGACTAGTGGGGTGAAGCAGATGACCGGCCGGACGGACAGACGGAAGGACGGACGCACGGACGGAAAGATGGATACATGGACGGATGGACGGACGCATGGATGGACGGAAGCAAGAACGAACGAATGGACGGAAGAGCGGACGAACTGACGGACGCTTCGCCCCACTCATAATCATTCACTTCGTGAATATGCTGCGATTTTTATTATATATCATACTACAAGTAACGTCCTCTAGTATCGTACCGTTTGCATTTTTCAGCGTATATGCATTTCGTTATATGTACAAGTACCGCTCTCTATGGCCGGTTCAAGTACTAACGAGAGATGGCTACATACGATTACGGCGGGACGCTCACCCACGTCTTAAGGAGCTTCGCCCCAAAGAAAATGCGCATCAAACTCGATTTTCCTGTGTTTTCAAACTGCAGTTGCTCAGCGTGTCTGTGCATTCCAGTAAATATATACCTTTTTATATACCCTTTATTGAACCCAAGTACAGAGAGCAACCTAGCTTATTCATTGGCCTGTTTGGCAGTAGTTACCTAAGATAACTTTAGTTTCTATAATCCTATAATTCCGTCTACTTTTACAAACCTGTGACATGTATGCGTGTACTGTGTAACAGAGGCCGAAACCATGTCCGTATTAGCAGCTGCTAGACAAAGCCCCATAAGATTCTCGCAAGGTATGTGATATTAAAGTTTAAATAAACTGGCAACGACAAACATAAGGAGAGGCTAATTAGATGCATGTTGTCAATACAAATTTTACCCACTCTCTAGAGAGAAAGTTTTATTTCTAGTTAACAATCACCTAGCTATGACAGCACACGAAAAGAAGACTCTGAAGCAGCACAGCTCATCGCACTGGAATCCAGGGCTCAAGAACATCTCTGTACTTCTTCCGCTCGGGCTCTGGAAAGTCCTCGGGATGCAGCAAGATGTAGCGACGAAGAACGGCATCTCGCTCCATAGAACGGTGGTCGGCGTAGCGCATGGCGGATTCTCCAAGGGCGACATATAAAGCCGCACCGAAAATGTGTTTTTGAATACCGCTGAACGCTGGCTTCCTCATGAAATAGTTTGCTATACAAGCTGAGAGTACACCGGCCAATCCAGGGAAGCCCCAAAAATAGAAGCGCCTCATAAACAGACGATGTTCATTGAAAGGTTCAGGAGTAAATAGTTTTTCGTAATACGGGGGCAGCGTTCCGTACTTTTCGCCCGCCATCTCTCCAGACATGCGCGCTACGCGCAACAGGAGTACAGCATAGCCTGTGGAATAGGTGTTTATTAAGCGTGTTGCGAACTGTCTAAGCGTGATTACTAGTAGTAACCTAGCGAAGCATACCTCATTTGTCATAATCATCAATCATTTTTGAAATATTCAGGCACCCACTACACGTCCTCAACGCAACGCGCACCAACGTAGCCACAAACTTGTTGCTGCTGTGATTGTATATGATGAACTACCACTGAACTTCATATATTGAACGAACCGCCTCAGACCAGCTACTCATGACACAATTGCCAACGTGTAACGCCTGGTTTGATTTTACACTTATGATATGCAACATCACATCTGCTAACGTGATTCTTCGCTCTATACGATGCATCTATACGGTCTCTTTGCTAAGAACCTTGAAACACTATCGTGGTTCTATTGTAGGTTGATATGTGGGGTTTGACGTCACAAAACCACCATATGATTATGAGAGACGCTGTAGTGAAGGGCTCCGAAAATTTCGACCACCTGGGGTTCTTTAACGTGCACCTAATTCTGAGCACATGGGCCTACAACAGTTCCGCTTCCATCGGAAACGCAGCCGCGGCAGCCAGGATTCGATCCCGCGACCTGCGGGTCGGCGGCCGAGTACCTTAGCCACTAGAACACCGCGGCCGGAGCCATGGCTCTATTGTAGGGCACCTCACTTCAACGTAGAGCACATGTGTTCGATTCCCCTCTAAACCCGGATGACCAGGAGACCAACATCAGCGGTGTTTCTGAGATCATGTCCGATTTCGTAGTAAAAGCATTTACAATATTTAAAGTAGGCATTCTGGGTAGTTTTGTAGGGAGTAGTGAGTCACGCGCGCTTTCAGTTCCTATTTTTAGGCTTTTCGTGAGAGCGAAGAAAGCAGAGAGACAAACAAGGAAGCGAGGAAAAGCAGACACGTTGCTGGGAGGCAATCCTTGCTTTATATTGCGCTCAGAGAGAATAAATCACGAAGTTTTTATTGATGATGATACATTGCTGTCAATCTCTCATTTCTTCGGTTGAATAGACCCTGACAAATAATGTGTAATATTTTTTCGGGATCATAGAGGCTCCAATCTTTAGCAGGTGATCCTCTCGTCTATCTTTCTTTGGTAGCAGGCAGATTCTTTGAGCTTTAACTCTAATGGCACAAAATCTCAGTCATTGCATATTTAGCCGAGCAGTAAAGCAGTACATGACACTTAGTTATTACATTAAGCAGGTATTTTTATCACCATTTTGCTTGCGCCGGAATCATAAAGAACTCGCGAGGTAAGCGCGAGCATGACGCTGAGCAAACTCACCAGCACCCTTTCTGCAGTACATTACATAAACCTGCCCACATTGTCCTTAAAAGTTGCTTGGCAGTTTCCTTTCTTTCTTTCTTTCTATTTCTTCTTTCTTTCTTCTTTCTTTCTTTCTTCTTTCTTTCTTCTTTCTTTCTTCTTTCTTTCTTTCTTTCTTTCTTTCTTCTTTCTTTTTCTTTCTTATTTCTTTTTCTTCTTTCTTTCTTTCTTTCTTCTTTCTTTCTTTCTTTACTACTTTTTTCTCTTCCCTTCTTTCTTTCTTTTTCTTTCTTTCTTTCTCTCTTTCTTTTTTTCTTTCTTTCTTTCTTTTCATCTGCCACGCTCAAACACACAGCTACTAAAGACTCTCGAAGGGAAAGCAACGCCTAGGCGTTTGGGAAACGAGGTTCTAGGGCCAGCAAAAAATACTCTCACGGAGCAGCATTTCTTAAAATATGGTTCACCAGGTGACTGTAACAGGAGTGGGTTATAAAATGCAAGTGGCGTTATTGATTTATGTGTCCCACTCGAGAAGATAGAATATAGGAAGGAAAACAAATAGGGTGGCGATGTATAGACAACAAATGGTGATGACTTTAAAGTTCGAAGAAAGAGAGCCGTTGCGTGGGAAGCCTTGCGGGCACTTTTGTTGGCATGGTGTCGCCGTTTTCGAAGCAATCAGCTTGTGTCGAGGGCGTCTGTAAACGAGCCACGTTCTTTCAAAACAGCAGACACGAGATGAGAGCCTCATACGGTGCCTTGTTCATTAGAGGCGAGAAAAATGAATAAAGATACATCTGCCCCACGCAGAAGTCCACCCAGTTTTCCTCTTTACACAGAGACAGGAGTGAAAGTCTTCCTTCATTCTTGTCCTTTCCCCTCGGTTTCTTGCGACATACGACATGGAGCCTATCCACGCTTTCACCGCAAGATTTAATGTTCACAGGACATACAGTACACAGTTGTTACAGCCACACGTTGTTTTGACTTACTTCTCATTGTGTTGCTGGCTATAAGAGCAATTGTTTATTTTACTTCATGCACTAAAGCATCACTGGCATTTATTAGCGGTGAAGCACTACTAAAATTAACTCATGGCTTAAAAAAAAGGAATCACTAACAAGCTTTTGAGCAAAATTTTAACTTCTTCACTAGCACGTAGAAGGATCGCATACGGACCCGGAACAGTGATATATTCTTTTCTTTTTGAAAATGAAATCCCACTACTAACCACTGGTCTTTTAAAAATTGAGGCAACATCTAGTCTAACAAAATGTTGTGCTGCAAAAACATCTGCGGCGTGTCAGAAAACTAATATCAAGATAAGCACCTATGTGCCACAAAAATAGGGTCCAATTACACTACGCATAAGTTCTATTAAATCGAAAGAGTCCAACAGTTAGCTGAACAAGTGGCGTGCGTGTTACCGTAGCCCCACCTAATGTGACGTCCTTTGCGGTTACAAAAGACGGTGGCTTCACTTCACTTCAGACGGTACCTCAAAGCTCAACAAAAAATGTTTAAAGAAGAGTAGTGACAAATTATATATGTGCATCTTAAGCGAATACTTCTTTTTTAGGCTTGTATATAATAGTGGTGTTTATTGGCCAACATGCAATAAAACTATACTACCACATCAAAGCGGAACAAAGTGATAAACAAAGAGGCAGTTATACAACATATGGGAAATACCTTAAAAGCATAGAGCTTGAACACTAGACGTTTCGTGGCTGAATCAGCGTAAACAAAGCGGATCTTGTGGAATATTCGCAAGGTTAAGTAATATAAGCTGCTGAAAAAGTAGTTTCTTAGGTCTTGCGTAGTGCTTTAACAAATTACGTAAATTATTGTTATATCTAAACGATAAACTAATTTGAGCAATGCATTATTTTTTTCTTGTTCTGTCATTTTAGGCGTCTCGCATTGGAAATTTAGTATGACGTCAGAATATAAAATTTCCTGCTAATGTGTTCATTCCTCCTTGCTTAGTGACATGGAAAGTATGTATTTTTACGGCTTTCGGTACTTGGCAAGATGGTGTAGGCGGTAATAAAACCTTTGACCTTAAAACCACCTGCCTAATAAGCTTACGACAACCTACGAGGTCAACTTTTTAGCACCTGGGCGGCGATAGGCTCCAAAGGTGCAATTACTCTAGATTTACCCAGCAAGACCAGCCGCGATCGTTACCGACAGGGCAGACGTACCTCATGTCTGCGACGAAGTGAAAAATAGCCCACTACTATGCTGTGACAAGATCTTGGATTTTTCAAAGTACGTTGCCTAACAGTCTCGGCTGCGAAGATAATGCATATAAAACTTGTTCTAGCTTAGCGCAAAAAAAAGAGCTACCAGCTTACTATAAAATTTGTGCTGTGTAGGTCCAGACATAAAGGACGTTGCCCGCCTATTTAATGATGGTGTCATCTTGCTGCACCACTGCTGGGTTCTAGCAACATCTCCTTTACGATGCCACCGCTCACCTTTGCCTTTATTGCATGCCAAACTGCGTGCGATGAATACGAAGACGATTATCAGAAAAGGGGCAAGAAAGAGCAATTTATTTCACCCGCAATGCTGTGGCGCAAGATTAGAAGCCATCTTTTTTTGAGCTTTTACCTCCTGCTGCTTTTTGTATTGGTCACGACAGTCTGACTTGTAGGAAAGGAGCAGGTCACTTGTAGGCAAGCGTGAGTATTTTAATTCACACTTTAGTCTTCTTTAAGATTTCTGTCAATTACTACGCGGTAGTACGATATACCCTAAAACCTTATTGTTATGGTTGTCGGCTAGGTTGCTGAACCTTTGTGTGAATCGTAAAAACAAATGTATGTGAATCACACGTACACATTTGCTATTGCCCAATTTCATTACTTTAACCTTCAATTATCATCGTCAGCCTAACATCATACAAATATCTTGTCATGTACATTGAAGCGGAATACGACCTCGAATACATAATCACTAACACTCATCTCATGGTAGGCTTCATTCACTTAGATTTTGTAACTGTGATTGTCCTCACGTGATCACAGCTTGCTAAAACATTCATATAGAAATAAATAGGGTAATGTGTGTGTGTGCTTTGACCCTTAACTAACTCCTAGTCTGTTAACGCGGTAAGTCTTCATAACGCGCTGCTGCACTCAAATGCGAATTGCGTTTTATCTTGGCCAAACGACGGAGCAGTTGCTCTGTTTTAGCATTATTAGAAGGAAGCCTGGTGTGTTCTTAAGAGTTCTTGTTAAGTAACTGATCTTTGATAATAACACATAATGTAATACTTCGTGACATAGGTCAAAACTAAGCACCAAAAAAAAACTGTGTTGAACGTGTTTACTGTTGTTTTCAGTCCACTATCCTTGTGCTTGGTTCGTTTTTGTTGAAGCAACATCAATGTTTCCAAATCTGCATACGCATGTGAAAGCCATGATCATGATATAACAAGGTGTCTTTCAATGATGTACCTGGTAATGGTAACTCTGAAAGTCTGTGTATATAGGTGGTAAGGACTGATAACAAACAGCAAATTATTGCAATACTAAAAAAATTCGTTCATTCATTTCCATGTGCAGGTTCTCGGGAGAGCACCACCACCCTGCATTGAGGAAACAACAACAATTATTTAAATCACTACCACCTGCTTTGTGGACAAGCACGCGCCGTACTTAACAATTGTTCATGAA